AGCGGGTGACTGGAGGAGCCGAGGGGCGGGGGGTGGCGCGACGGCGGAGGTCGAAGTCGTCGGGGACGCGCGGCCACCGCCTGCAGGAGCTCGGCCGAGCCGCTTAGCGCTGCATAGTGTAGCACGCCCCAGCCAAGGTAGTCAGTCGTGGCCCAGAGTTCGTCCTGGCTTGGTAGTCGCGCCGCCCAGTGTATTGACAGGTAGTTCGCTGATCGGGTGACTGATCCACGTCGCGAGGATACGCGTTGCGAGGATACGCGTTGCGAGGATACGCGTTGCGAGGATACGCGTTGCGAGGATACGCGCTGCGAGGATATGCGCTGAGAGGACACCCGCTGCGAACTCTGACCTGCCGAGCTCCGACCGCCCGTGGCCGAACCCCGACCGACGGTGGCCGAGCCCAGGTTGTTATAGGGGCGAGCAGCCTTCAGCCGGTCGCTGCTGCCTTGGTCCGTGGCCGGGCGAAGCTGCGTCGCGTTTTGGCTTCGCGGGCGAGGCGTCGCCGTCGCCGCACCGTGTGGATAGGGGGACGCCATGGAGCTGCGCGGAGGAGTCGAGGCGCACGGCCGCCCCAGAGGGGGTCCCAGAGAGCGGCCTAGGGGGGGGGAACCGAGACCTAGACCAGAGGAGCCTTGGGGGGAGCCGGGGCCCGAGGAGCCCAGCGAGCGAGGGGGCGAGGGGGAACCTAGAGGGGGCGCCAAATCCGCGGTCGATCGCGAGCCATAGCTTGTCGGGCGCAACACGGAGGCCGCAGCCGAACTGCGACGGATAGCCTTCTTGTCTGTAGACTTAGTCGCCGTCTGGTTCAGTGAGCTGCGGGTCACACCCGGCGTAAGCCCGCAAGTAGTTCGGTCCAAGGCGCTCCGGTCTAAGGTGATCCGGTCTAAGGTCGTCCGGTCCAGTAGCGCTACGGCGGCGGGCGACCGGGGGGAGGGCGAGCGCAGAGAAGCACGCGCGTGCGCAGAGGTGCGCGCGTCGAAAGGGTTGCTTGAGGAGGTTCTTCGGCGGAGGGCGCGCGGGTCGGATGAGCGTAGAGTGGGCGAGCGGGGATTTGCGCCCGGGGCAGAGCGGTTCAGAGTGGTCCTTCGCGCAGAAGAGTCGGCGCGGGCTGAAGGCTCCGCCACCTCCACCGTCGTCCCTCGGGAGTCCCGACCATTGCGCAGACCGCCCACGGGCAGCGGCGTCGCCGTCGAGAACGGAGAGGCCAATAACGGGGACACCAGGAGCGGCGTCGCCATGAGCGGGGTCGTCAAGACGGGCGTCGCCAACAGGGACGGCGGCGGAGAGGAGAACAGTGACGGAGACGACGGCCGTCGAGAACCGCCGCCTGACCGAGGCCGCTGCTCCGCCGTTGCTCCCTTCCCGAACTCCGCCGACGAACTCACCAGCGGCGAGGCGCTCCGCGGGGACTGTCTCCGAGTGATGTGTCCAATAGATCTCCGTCGCCGCCGGCCGTCCACTACTTGACTGTCCAACACCTTCTGGGCTGCGGCCTCTCGCTGCAACAACGCCAACCGGTCGTGCCAAGCCTTGACCAGCAGAAGCTGCCCGCACTGCAAAGCCCACAGGTAGGGATGGGACCCTATTCTGGATGCCCTCATGTAGATTATCCACCACACGCGATGCCGGATACTGGCTTCACCCGACATTTTCATCTCACCCATCTTTTAACAATATTGCCCTTCTCTCCCATACCCCAAACTGCGCCACTCCCCGTACTCGCTGCGAATTCTGCGCCATGCAGATTTGTGCGACAACCCTGCACACGTGTGTGTGCACACGCGCGCGCGCAAATGGAGATTCAAATTTGAGCCACTGGCTAGCCGGGGGCACGATAGCAGTTGCTGGACCGGGGCACGACAACAGGTGAGGCAATTAGCTGGTGCCAAGTTCAACAGGGTGCACAGCCACGGTGCAGGAGGTCAATCGTTCGTCACGGACGCCAAATAATAATGGACGGAAAATCGTTTTCTTCGCCTCTCTTGCGATCTGTTCGCAAGGATTCCAATCTGAGCTTGAAGGACCTGAAACCAGACAGGGAGAGAGATCTGATAGCTAGGACATCAGCAACTAGAGACGGCCATGAGGCACTAGCACCGGACTTTTGTCCGGATGTACCCCCACTATTCTTGGACACGGGTGGACCGTCCAGTATAGCTAGCAGCAGTGAGGCTGGTGACAGCGACTTTCCGTATGCCATAAAGAGTCCTTTTCTGATGCGCGCCAGGCGGATATCGATGGATTCTGACACGTCGAACACGACGCCTCAGCTGTCCAACACTCCGTTGGGCCATGGATCTCTGGGCAGTACGCCCGGAGTGACCAAGAAGTCGTTTGTTACCCCTGCTGTCTTTCCGCAAGTGGAAAAGCGAAGCAAATCGCTTCCCATGTTCCCTGGCGTGATCCTACCAGCAGCGTCAGGGAAGATGAACCCCCAGACGTCGATCACCATTATCGGTACAGAAAACAGAAGCGCCACCAAATGCGATGGCAGCCCCCCTGCGGGGAACTACGGTCGTCATGAGGATCAGGTCATGGCATCTCAGGACCAGATGTCGGACCTGGTGATGGCGTCTCAGACCTCTCATGGCCAGAGGTCTTATGACCATGGTGACCGGACATCTCCCGTCCGGACGTCAATAATTCACGACGGGGAAATTCGAGAACAAAAGTCCATACCGGATGACGTAATGCCTGGGATGGAGACGGATGCCGTTCCCGGCGTCTTTGAGCCAGAGTGGCTTAGAGAGCGACGGAAGAAGCGAATGTTAGACGAACAGGTGGAGGAGAGTATGGCACAGGTGCAGAAGGGTCGCCATCATTACCAGCAGCAAGGGGCCGCACCAACACAGGATTCAGCGACAATGGTTCCGGCGGGTCAGGACTTGCCGCCTCCCGAGCTCTTCGGATTGCCTGTGGAATTGAGTACTGTTTACATCAGCAACTTGGATGAGTCGGTGACCTCTCCTCAAAGTCTTTTGCAGGACCTGACTCAAAAGTCGGGATTGCCACGTATTAAGGACATAAGGATTCCAACCATTACGAAACCTGCTGGTGGCAAGACTGCAGAATCTAACAAGACCACGGCTAACGGCGCCATGGTGGACTTACAGGCTGCTGGGCAACCCGGTTCGCAGACTGTGTCGGGCAAGGGTTTTGCTTATATAGAATTCAATAACGCGCAGGACGCTCGCACGGCGGTGAAGATGCTGGCCGAAGTCAAGATCAACGGCCGCAAACTTCAGGTCCAACTTTCGCAACCCACGAAGCCGGTATACGAACCCACTGTACTCTACATTCCTAACCTGGACCCGGAGATCACAGAGGAAGCTATCCAGGCACTCATTGAAAATGAATATGCACAATACAAAAAAGATAACGCTGGTCGGAAGCGCTTGTCGCGACCGAACCCTGACCCCCGGAAGAGATCTAGAAACGAGGCTGAACAATCCGTCGACCAGGACCAGCCCGCCGTCCATATCAGTGACCCACTTGCTGCGGAGGCATCTGCTGCGGCGCCACCTGCTACGGAGCCACCGGACCCTGATGTTTTCGTGGATCAGCGCCAGTCAGATGGCAGTCCCGTGGACAGACTGGATGAAGGTCCTGATAAATACTGCGAGAAGGGACCTCAGTCCTGGAAGGTGGTCGGTGTGCGTATTATAGAGCCGCGGCCGGAGCTCGCAGAGGCGAGTCTGCCAGATGAGGAGGCGGCTCCTCGGCACGCGTATGTTGAGTTTCGTGACCGGGCCTCCGTGTTAGAGATTTTGCGGTGGCAGCAGGAGCGGTGTTTCTGCGTAGGCGACCGCGTAGTCGTGCTAGTGCCGAGTGTGCCCAAGAAGCGAACGGCCAGCAGCTACGCAAAGAACAAGAGAGAGAGACTCACTGTCGACCAGCGCATCAAGCGGACACTGTACGTATCTAATATCCCGGTGGGAATGAAGGAACCGAAGTTCAGGACGCTCTGCGAGGAGTGCGGCCCGATCCAGGAGCTTCTCATGCCGCATAAGGACGGAGTGAGTGTGGGCTGGGCCCTCGTGGAGTACCGAGACGCGATAAATGCAACGACCGCCAGCACCACCCTCTCGGGACGGAAATGCGGCCCGAAGTTCCTAAAGGTGAAGCAGAGCAAGAGTGCCATCACGAAGCAGAGACAGGGCGAGTCGCGAGAAGAGAGACATGTTGGCGGCCAGGCGGATGCAGGCAAGGCGAATGGAGCCAAGGCAGATGAAGCGACGGCGGCTGGAGAGAAGGTGGTTGGTCTTGGGCCTGGCTTGCGACGGAGAAGGCCGACCGAATTCCCAGAGTCGGGTGGTGAGTCGCGTATCTGTGGGTCGAATGACGAGTTCCGACGGATGCTAGGTTTGTAGTTTTTTTCAAAAGCCGTTCCTGATGATGCTGATGCCGATAAATATCACGTTTGGGGAGTAAGGAGAGGAGCTGGTAATGGACAGTTCTGGCAGGTTTGCAATCGCCTGGCGCGAGAAGGAGTATCGGATTGTGGGATCGTCCATAGTCTATTTCTGTTTGGTGGTGTTGATCCTGAGTTTACTCACTGCAGTTCTGCGGACGTTCCGAAGATCATTCACCAGAAAATGGCAGCAGCGCAATGACAATGTCTTGTCGTGCGCTCTGGTCAACACCGTCAGTTACTTGTTGGAAGCATTCATGGTAACCACTCACCTATCTGTATGGTCCTTGCGGATTGTTTGTTTGCTTGCGGGTCCTCTCGCTGTTCTGCGTCGGGTCTCTGTACGCTCTTCTTTTCATCCAGATGCTGGCCATGATGACTGGGAATTTGTACGTCATTCTTACCGTCAGTCTTGGTTATAGTGCCGGAAACATGTTTTCCGTACTTCTGGTCAGCGATCCGCTACCCCAGGACATTCTGGATGATACCTGTTGTTAAAGAACCAAGTCGGTACCCACGCGATAGCAGTCCCCGTTGGGTCCCCGCTGCTTGAACTGGGTGTAATCATGGTCCGTACTCAGACTATGCCGTAACAGCCGGTATCCTTCCCGAGATCCAGATTTCATGGGCACAGAATTGCCCCGTCCGCCCGCGTGCTGGTAACCGCAGGCCGGTTGGCCTAATGATATGGCCTGAGCGCAATGCTCCTGTGCTTCTTTGAAATCTCCTGTGTTTCTTCACAGCCACATTAACCCGTGCTCCTCGGCCCCTTCATCCCCGACTTTTTATGGTGCCGGAATGCCAGGAGCGAGCAAGACGAAGAAGATAGCTATCAGGAAAACCCGCGACGTACCCGGCCCAGAGCCCAGTCGGACAGCAGGGATAATGAATAAGGCTTCGCTCGACAGAAAGCGTGCGATGGCGGCCTTGCCGACGAGTATGCACAAGGCTCCGACCGATAAAGTAAAGGCAGAAATTGGCTGGAGACGCAGTGGCCAAGCAGAGACTAAGGGGGCAGCCCTCAAAGGAGTAGATGTGGGGGAGGCATTGGGGGAAGTGCGGATAATTCCACTGCCCCATGGTGTGTCTGGTGATGATGCCGAAATATTGCTGTTGGTCAAAGAACCTCGCATGAATTGGCTGAATGTATTCAAGCACCGTCGCCTGGGTCCCGAGGATTGTCTTGCCGCAACCACAACCACAACCACGACCGACGGGCATTTCAGTGTGTTCGATAAGACCAAGTTGAAAGGAGCCAAGGAAAAGGTAAAGGGCGCTAAAATCGTTGTCTTTGACCCCCGGGTTCCTGAGCTGGTCGCTTTTGTCTCCAAGTACTGCTCCCGAATGCTCCAGTTCACCCATCAGCATGACACAAGGCCAGCCGATCTCGACCCATTCCTCCAGGCCTTTCGAAAGCAGACGTGTGTCCGAATCGGGGGGCGTGGGTCAAGCAACTCGGTAACTCATGCCACTATTGGCAACGTCTGCATGACGTCGAGTCAAATCCAGGACAATGCGCGAGCGCTCGTCAAACAACTGGAAGCATCTCCCGATATCACGATTCAGTTTGTCATCGTCGAGACAGCAAGCGGCGAAAGGAATGTCGTGTATGACTGCACCTGAACCTTCGTCCATGTCCACACCTTTGCGCGCCTACGTGAGCACACACGTGCGTGCGGACTTAGTGATTTTCAAGCAGGTGCTCCGGTATATCGCTTATCTCTCCCATGCAAATGAAGAAAGGATTGAGCAGGTCTGGCTTGCCGTACTCAAGCTCTTTCCGCAGCATTTTTTGGTTGCTGTTCAGTTGGTACATGTGACCACCAGCCGCAAGCAGGACTGCATGAGCAGCGCAGGTATCCCACTCGCAGCAGGGGACGAGCCTGGGATACACGTGGACCTGACCCGCAGCGACTTGTAGAATCTTCAAACTGGACCCTGATTTCACCAGATTCGGTTCGTGAAACGTAGCAAGTATTGCATTTGTCAGCACGCTACCGTGAGAACGGCTAGCCATGACGGTTAAGCCACGGTCAGACCACTTAGCACTTGCTACATGGACCCTTTCGGCAAAGTTGGCCACAATATGTTCGACCTCGATGTGTTCAGTCGCCAATTTCGCGGAAGTCGCTTCCATGTTGATTACCGCGTTGCGTTTCATTGCCTCGTTCAAATTGAGTCTATAGGCACCGTATACGGTTCCTCCGAAATAGCAGTGACCTGTTACGGGTACGATGACAACTCCAGCAATCGGTTGTCCATTTTGGCAAAGACCAATGTTGACAGTGAACTGCCCATTTTTTTGGATGAATTCTTTCGTTCCGTCCAGGGGGTCTACGAGCCAGTGGCACTCCTCACGCTTCAGTGATTCGTAGGCGGTCCGATCTTGGTCTTCTTCGCTCACGATAGGGATGCTGGGCCAGTTTTTTTGGAGGCCAGCGACAATGAGTTCGTGAGCCGCTTTGTCGGCGTCCGTCAGCGGCGAGGCATCGTCTTTCAACTGCACTCCGTAATCGCCACAGTCGTAAATAGCGAGGATTGCTTGACTGGCCTGGTGAGCAATCGCAATAAGTCGATAGTACGAGGCATCGTTTTGGACGAAGGATAAGCACACAGGAGCAGGCGTGGTCAGAGTCATTGTATAAAAAAAGAACCGTCTTCGCATAAGACAGGCGTGTCAAACGGTTCGGGATTTAGCGGAAGCCACTAGAGGACGACTAATGGTAACATCGTAGCGACAAGTGATTGTACCGCAGCGACCGGTGGCAGATCGTTGCGACGAGTGAGTGAGGGACGAGTGAGCTAGGGGCTAGTGAGGCCACGACATTAAAGTCGCATGGTGTGTCTGAGCAGGTCTCCAACCATCTTGTCGCTGACGGTGTTGACTTCGTATCTTGGCGGCGTGTGGCCGGTTGTGGACCAATTACGGTTCTTCTGAGTGGCGGCGCTTGGGCCTCTTCTGCATTCAATGATCGATTCCAGGATGGGGTACCAGGAGTCCGCCCCTTCGGGGCTATCAAATTTCACAGCCTTAGACTGCGTTGGCCCTCCTCGGTCTGTGATCCGCAAATAGACGTAGACGCCTTCTTTGGACAACGTCCAACCACAAGAAATACACAAGGTCATGTAACTCGGCTTCGGTCGCTGACTCAGGAACACCAAGCAAGGTGGGCGACTATCCAATATGAAGCAACTACACTCGAGTCCCTCGCCCACCCACTTGGACGATCTCTCGTCAAAATTATATAGAGTGACATGCTCACGCTACAACGCAAAAATCGCTACCCTTTCGCCGTGCCGCTTACTCTATCTAACACGCCGGAGGCGCTCATGTCCCCCGTTGACGACTTCAGCAACCTATCTTCCATCAACGACTTCATCAATCTATCTTCCATCAATGAACCTGCAACAAACATAGTGTTTTGCTACCACCAGCCGGGTGACTGTTTGTTCGGTGACGGGACTGGCTCCATGCAGCCAAGCTCGACCGCACGTAGCCGAGCCCGCTGCATGTAGCCAACTGTGAAGCATAGCCCGCTCAACAAAATATGTGATGCGCCTACCCCTTATACCTTTGCTCATCTTTTCTCCCAAAAAATAAAGTGATGACTGCCGATGCAATCGCGGTAAGGCACTGCACATCACCAACTCAGCCGGGACCAGCTGTGGTTCCGACATAACTATCCCTCCGTGGTGTGATCGCCGAATACGTGTCTTGAAGGAATCGCCACATTACCTGAATGCGAAGCCGGCTACCTCGATAATAGTTGGAACGGCAGTGGATAAAACGGCGGAGGCCGCCAAAGAGGAAGCTGACGCAGAACTCGAAGCTGGTGAAGGGGGTGAAGCTAGCGAGAGGGCAAAGTCCAACAAACCGCTTGACAGCTGCGGTCAGAAGACAGAAGAACCTGAGGGTGAGATCGCAACCAATTTTGAGCCGACCGGCGAATCTCGAGAAGGAGCCGAATCTCGAGAAGCAGGGGAACCCCGAGACGCGGCACTTCTTCGGGACACGCCCTTGGAGACCGCGCCTGACGTTGGGATGATAGCTGCGGACGAGGAAATGCGCGACGGACGTGCCTTGTTTGAATCTGAGAAGTACGCGGACGCACTGAAGGCGTGGACAAGTCGACTCCGATCGATCCAGTACGTGCTCGACAAGCACAAAGAAGGCGAGCCGTACAAGGGCATCGCGGAGTTCGAGGAAATGGCTCTCAAAACGTGCAGCAACATCGCCCTATGCAACATCAAATTGCGCAGATGGGGAGACGCTGTCACCTTTTGCGATCGCGTGCTCGAACTGGACCCCCGAAACGAAAAAGCGCTTTATCGGAAAGCGAAGTCTCTAGTAAACCTCGACCCTACCTCTCACCATCTAACCTTGCGCCACCAACCCTCGATAACCACCCGTTTTTTCGTCAGTTCGAGATGGCCAAATTGACGGAAGCGTACAAAGCTTTGGCCACGTTCCGGAGTGCGGATCCCGCCGTCATTCAGTTGACTAAGGAGGTGAATGAGGCGATACAGAGGACCAGGTTGATGCAAAAGAAAATGGTAGGGCGCACTCTTAACCGACCGGCAGCGGTAGGGGTGGTCATCTTCCTTCGACTTGTTGTTCACAGTCTACCTGCTTATTGTCAAGTTTCGTAGATGCAAAAGATTCTGGAGGAGTCCAGGATTGAGAATTCTCCGTACAAGGTTATCCGTCTGCACCTGGAGACGGCGTATTTGTGGCTGAAGGCGCTGTTCCTGTGGCTCTTTCAGGACCTGCATGGCTGGATGCTTAGACGTAAGGTGGTTAGTTAGGAAAGCAATCTTCGGAAGGTAGTCAGTTATGAAGGTGGTGCGTTGGGAAGATGGTCAGTTATGAAGGTGAAGGCGCAATGAAGAAAGGCCAGTGTGTGAAGGAGACAGTGAAGGAGTTAATGGAGGAGTCAATGGAGGGGTTCGATGACGAGTTTTTGGTCGCCGGTGTGGAGTTTAGAGGCGAGGCCGTCTCCGTCAAGGACGACGACAACGCGGCCAGTGGAGAAATCTCCATCCTGTTCTGCGCGTCTCCAGGCTTCTCCAATGGCGCCGCAGATGATGCCGACGAGAACGAGGGAGGCGGACTGTTTGGCGGCCGCGTCCTTTCCGGGAACGCTACGGATAATAACGAGGACCTCACGTTTAACCATCTCGTTCAAGGCGCTACGAGCGGATGCGCGAAGGTCCGCAAGACTGAGGGAAGGGGGTTTGGAAAAGGGCACGTTGTCAGGCACATTCTCGAGGAAGTCGATCCACATGTCCGATTCTCGCTTCCAGTCGCGCACGTCCAACTCCGCGGTTTGGTCAGGGAGGAAGTCCAGCATCAACTGAATTGCCGACGCAGGTGTATTCAACTGAAACGCAACGTATTGACAACAAGCTACATGACATTGGGGGATAACATATTCACGGCTACTGCACAGCAAAGACTTACCTGACAAGAAAATAGCCAAGATGCCACCATCTGCGTCGATGGCCGAATGATGTCTGCTATGTCACTCTTCTTCAGGTCCGCCGAAAGCTGGTCGAGGGGAGGCAGCTGCTTATTGCTCTTTAGTAACAGCTCGCGAATCTCATGCAGGTTTTTTTCCATGGCGTCCATACGCTGCTGCACTTTGAAAACATCTGAACATACACTTGGGCGGTTTGAGAAAGCAAGGGGGCAGGCATGGTCGAGCCAGCATAAAAAGCGCAGCTTTCAGACATGGTGGTCGGTTGTTGGCAGTTCAGATAATGGTCCGGGAGCCCAAACAATCGTCCTGCGGTCCTACCTCTGTTCGTAGCGTGGAGCCTCTCATTCAGAGTTTTGACCACTCCCAACAAAGGATCGTACTTCGAAACTAGGAACGTCTGTAACTCTGCCGAGTACGGGGATGGGTTAGACGGGGTTTGCGCCATGGAGCACACGCGTGTGCTCCGTCTCTGGACACCTTAACGAGGCGCCTTGATGAGGGGGTGGCGTCTTCGTAAGGGTGAGGTCTTCATATAAAAAGTTTTGAGGGTTGGCCCATGTCGTGGGACGGCTGTGCGGCAATCGCCCTTCGGGCGGATGATGTCGTAAAGATATGCCGAGTCAACCCAGCGGACGGAGCGGCAGAGTTGGATGGCGCGCAAATCATTGGCAACGTTTCCTCCCACGCGATTTGGAACAGTGACTCAACTATATTTGCAGTTAACCAAAACGAAAGGGTGCGAGTCTATAAAGTAAGAACTACGTTTACTCTCAGATGTTTCTCCCAGCCCATTATCTTTGTTCCCCACTTGAGCTAGTCACGCCGTTGGTCACTGCCAGTCTTGTCCGTCCTGCCCTGGTCTGTCTTACCGTGTTCTATGTCGCGTTAGATTTTTCCTGAATCCGGTTCTATAAGCGAGATTGAGCTCGAAGATAAAGACGTTCGTAATTGGACCATCAAATGGATTGGTATATCTCCCAAAGGCACCTTTCTGGTTGTGTGCTACGAGCTACCCCCAAACAACGGTAATTCTTGCGCCTTTGAGCCCCCTTCGTTTTTGAGCATCCCATGCTGCCCCCTCTCCCCTCCCGGCCCCTCCCCCCTCCCGGGCACTCCGCACCCGTCCGCTTGAGCCCTTTGCTCTATGGTTCACGGACCCACTATATTCACCACTCCGGTATTTGGTCTTGATAGATGGCCCTAACCTCTACGTTTGGAATGTTAACACGCGCGATCTGGTGTACTGCGGCAGGCATCCGAACTTGGAGAGCAACCATTTCGTTTGGCGCGACGACGAGAAGTACCGTAGTGTGTTGTTGAACGGTCATGTGTTCTTTTACGAGGGTATGAGTAGCAAGGAGTTCTTTTCGTGTGCAATTCAGTCGCAGGAGGCGACGGTGCAGTTTGCGCCGGAGCACGTGTGCGGTCAGGACCTGTTGACGTTTGTGTTTCGTCCGGCAGACGCTAAGGTGCCTGGCGTGCTCAATATGGTATTCAAAAGAAATGCCGAGACAGATTGCAAAATAGTTCGCTGCGAGGTTCCCAACGTAGACGGATTGGAATGCACCTTTTCGCCGTCAGGTCGACACGTTTTGTTGCTCACTTCAGCCCAGATCGACTCGCTGGGCGAAAACTACGGAAGCATCGGAGACTTGTGGCTAACCTGTTGTCAAAATCTGATCCACGGCATTTGCACCGGTGACTGGCAGAACACCACCGCCACAGCAGGAACCGACTCATGTCGACGGGCAACCCTCCAAAACGTGCCCGAGAAGGCCGGTACCTTAGATAAGGCCGGTACCTTAGATAAGGCCGGTACCTTAGATAAGGCCGGTACCTTAGATAAGGCCGGTATCTTAGATAAGGCAGGTACCTTAGATAAGGCAGGTACCTTGGATGACAAGGCTGGTCCCCCGGAAAAAACTGGTTTGTCGCCGGAGTCTACACCCGTCAAGACCACCTCAGCGGGTACGGAGCCGCCAGGCGCCGTAGTCCTGGCCGACCTCGTGACCAAAGTCAACAAGAAGATGGTCCAGGACGCGGCCTGGTCACCGACGGCCGAAGAGTTCGTTGTGATCGAGGGTAAGAGCCCTAGTGAGTGCTATTTGAAGTCGGCTGACGGAAGGGCTTCCACAGAAATCACGCGCGGCTACAAGAACACCATCCGCTGGGCCCCTGGCGGCGACATGCTCGCCCTCGGCGGCTTCGGCAATCTCGCCGGCGACCTGGCCTTCTACTGGCGCACACGGCCGGCCTCGCAACTCACAGCCGCCACGATGAGCGGGACTGCTTTTCAGGTGGGAACTGTCTCGCCCGACGAGGCTATTGCTACTGCTCGTTCGGACGCCCTGGCCGCGCCGTTTGAGTTGGTGCATGAGTGGCGTGTGGCATGTACGGTGCGTTGCGAGTGGAGTCCGTGCGGTCGGTACTTCTTCACGGCGAGTTTGTGGCCACGGATGCGCGTGGACAACGCTGTGCGTGTGTGGAGGCGTGACGGCGCGTTGTTGGTGGAGCACGGCGCAGAGGCGTTGCATGACGTGCAGTGGTTGGCGGCGTTCCCACCCGGACAGGTCCCGGCGTTGCCGAGGCCGACGCGTGCGGCTCAAGCCGCGCAGACAGGAGTCTTCCGGCCGCGGAATCAGAGCGGTAGTTCCGATCTTGCGCTCATCCAGAAGTACATGAGCGGCCTGCTCCGTCTCGAGGAACTCCCTGAAGAGGTGCAGGCGCGCCTCAAGTCTCAACGCACCCGAGGCAAGGGCAACTCTAAAACACCCGACCAACTCAAGTCCTCCTGGCGCAACCGCCAGGAGCCACCCAGTAACCCGTCCGGCGCCAATACTGAGTCCGAGGCCACGCCCTCCGAGCCTTCCGCTGCCCGCAAGAATGCAAAAAAGAAACGAGATCTCGCCGACGAAACTAACAGAAAGCAGACTGACCGACTCAGCGACCGACGCAACGAACCAGATGCCCGGAACGCAACCGCACAATCCAAACGACTAGCGAACGCCCGAACAGCAGCAGACAGTTCCGAGTCCATGCCCGGACCGAGCGACCTAGGCCAGGACGCAGCGGTCCCCTGTCTGGATGCAGCTGTCGTTGGCCGTAATGGAGCAGCGGCTCTGGGCCGAGAAGGAGCTGCGATTTTGGGCCGCGGAGCAGCGGTCTTGGGCCGAGATGGGGTCTTGAGTCGAGACGGACCGATCGTGAGTCGAGATGGAGCGGTCTTGGGCCGAGATGGAGCGGTCTTGGGCCGAGATGGAGCGGTCTTGGGCCGAGATGGAGCGGTGTTGGGCCGCGACATGGTGGGTCGAGACGCGACGGGCATGAGCGGGATGGGTCTGGAGGTATTGGGGCGGTCACCAGCGGCTGCGGCGGAAGCGTATCCGCGGCTACCAGACGCGACGGAGCGGAGTGGGCGACCGGTGGGTCAAGTGGAAGACAAGATCTTGTCTTTGTTGCAGCAGGTGTTGCCTGCTAGTGCCACTGTGCACATTGAGAACCGGAATTATATGGGGCCTCGGGGCGAGGGAGCGCAGGGCCGCGCAGTTGGACGGTTGGATACGCGCGGTTACGGGGAAGGGCGGTCGGCTCAGGACGTCTACCGTATGCGGCCGCCACCGCCTCCGCCGCGAGAGGAGAAGTGGCTGTACGTCGATCCCGGTGGCCAGATCCAGGGCCCCTTCAGTCGCAAACAGATGAAGGTCTGGTGGGATCGAGGTTACTTCCCGCACACGCTCCGTGTCAAACAGGAACGCGACTACGACTTCCAACCCCTCACTGCCCACTTCCCCAACGTGGCCAAGGCCTTCAGCGACTGATTTTTTGTCGGTGGGAAGAACGACCGAATGTATCATTGTATTGAGGTGAGCAGCCTGTCTAGCAACACCTTCCTTCTTGTGCTCGGACGCCGGGGACGCCAGGGACGCCAGGGACGCTAGGGACGACCGGGCACTGGGGATGAGCGCACACTCGTGGGGGAGGGGTACCGATCAGAAGAGCTACTTCACGAATATGTGTGAGTACGAAGGCGTGCGTGGACTGAATGGATGCGCTGGATGAATTCTAGTGGATGTCCGTTGACTGGGGACACAGGGGCACACCGACAAGGTCGGTAGGGAGCGGCAAGGTCGGTAAAAACGACATGGTCGGTGGCGGTTGGTGAGTCCGCACATTTAGGCGAATCGTTTGCAAAGATGCGACAACGTCAAAGCAAGACAGGAGACGCGATGGGCAGAGTGGCGGACATGACGGAGAAGCGTTCGGTGCGTGCAGAGGCGAAGGGTGGCCCGCCTGAGCCAGACGCGGCCACATTAGCCAAGGTACGCGAGCGGTTGTGGCAGCAGCTTATGGAGCCGCTGGACGACAAGCGACAGTATACGGCAGCGGCTAAGATGTCCGCCGCTTTGTCTCCACCGGCACGACCGCGCCGAGACTACTCTCCGACGGAGTCTTCGGACAGTTCGCGGACCGCGCACTTCAGTCCCACACCCCCTCCGGTGGGCACCAAACGCCCGTGGCGACGCTTCGTGGAGTCCAGGCCGAGAGAGTCGGCACCCAAACCAGTGGTGACAACGGCCAAGCCGGTGGTGGCAGCGGCCGTGGCGGCCAAGCCGGTTGTGGCAGCGGCCGTGGCGGTCAAGCCGGTGGTGCCAGCGGCCGTGGCGGCCAAGCCGGTTGTGGCAGCGGCCGTGGCGGCCAAGCCGGTGGTGGCCGTGGAAGCCAGGCCGAGCGCTTGG